TTTTTTATTTTTTTTTGCTTGAGGGGGTGGGGCTGGGGTTGCGCCGCCCCATGGCGCTTCCCGAATCCCCAACCCCCCTCCCCACCGGCCGCCACGCGTCCGCGAAGTCGCACGGCAGCGCGGACATGTCCGCGGGGTCGCGGACTCGGCCGCGCTTGTCTGCCGCCGATGGGGATTTGTAGCATCAAACCGCCCAGATTTCGTCCGGACCAGAAAGATTGTGTTGACCACCTCCTGGATATCGAGTTCGCCTACAACATTTCGGTGCACCCGGTGATCTGTGTGACTCCCTACGAGTTGCATCACGGTGGACGGAAAGGTCGTATCTTCACTAATCTTCTTCTCCCTCGGGCCGCCGACATAGACCTCGCTTGCTCTCCCCCCTCCATTCGGAAGTACAAGAACTTGCTGATCAAATCCCAAACAAACATGCAAAAGGCTCAAGTCCGCATGCAACAGCAAGCTAACCGACGTCGTCTCGCATGTCCTTTCCGTGAGGATGACCTTGTCTAGGTCCTCGCCAAGGAATTCGCGCTTGAGCAAGACGTCTCTCGCAAACTCCTCCCCAAGTGGTTTTGACCATGAAAGGTAATTTCCGCAGCCGGCAACGACCCTGCAGACCCCTCTTTTGTGATCAACATCCCGCCGCACCTCACTGTGTACCCGGCCTTTCATGCATCGAAGTTGGCAATTTACACACCACCTTCGACTGACGAGTTTCCAGGCAGACGATCACAAGATCCGCCCTCCATGGACGGACATCAGGAAGTTTACCGTGTCATCACGCACCGCAAATACGGCAACAAACCAATGCAGTACCAAGTCACATTCAAGCAATGTGATCCCGTTGACACTCGGTGGATCTCCCGATAAGATTTACAGGCATCTGCACCACTCATCTTCTCTGAGTACGAATGACGACGACGTGCCAAGGACAAAGTTCATCCCTCCCGAATCACCCTGGTTTCGGACAGACAACTTCGCCCTCGCAGGTAGCTCGGTCTTTTAAGGGGGGGAGTGTGTTACATACTGGATTCCACACGGGCCTTGTTAGGCCCGACGGCTGGGTCTAGGGGGTTATCCCAGATGGTGGCCATGCTGGGCCAGTCCGGCCTGAGTTAAGGGCTGGACCTTGGAAAGGCCGATAGTAGGCCCCAGCAAACCGGTTCAGACCCGGATCTGCATCCGCAGGCCCTAAAGCGGGAAACTGGCTCAAACGTTTCCGCTTGAGCCCGGCGGCCAAACATTGAGGCTGCCACTTTCCAGCGGGTCCGATCTGAACCGTCTGAGGCAATCGACGGTCCAGATCCAGGCACGGCTTCACCAGCAGCCAGGCCGGACAGGCCACTGCCGGTACTTAGGACCGGCCAGCGGTCTGTTCTGGACAGATGGGGACCGCGGCATTGAGGGACATTAGTGCAGCTCCAGGCAGCAACGCTAAGTTTAGCGCTAGCTGTAGAGATGAGAGGGAGGGAGTAGCGACTTACCTGGCACTTACCTGTGGGCGCTATAGCTCCAGCGTCGGAGGCAAGTCTTCAGCGGCTCCAAGGCGGCACCTTGCACCTACAGGTTGGTGCCTGAGCACTGGCTCCGGGCAGGAGGATCTTCCTCCAGGACCTCCACCCCACCTCTCCATCTCCACCTCTCCTCTGCCCCTCAGTCTTCTTCTTCTTCTTCTTCTTCTTCTTCTTCTCCTTCTTCTTCTACTTCTTCTTACCTTCTGCCTTCTCGGTTACTATGGGGCAGAGATCGATGGTGAGGTATCGGTGACATCACGGCTGAGACTTTTCCAGCGTAGGATATTGGGAGGACTACTTGGAGATCTGTTACCAACGGCATTTCGAGATTCTGTAACTTCAACATTCGAGATTATGCATCTTCGACATTTCGGATTACTCTTTCGGTGACTTTGTGTTGACGCCATCTCCTCCTCCTACATTCGTCCGTGCATGCGTGTACAGGCCCTGGCGCATCCTCTATGCTTGAGCGCCAGGCCTCCTCACCTGATGAATGTATGAGTGTGAGCCTGGGTATAGCCCGAGTCAGATGTGAGTCCAGATCCATGTTTTCAAGTCTTCCACTGCATTATATTGTTCTTTGTAATGGTTGGTTCTAGGTTCTGCATCGTACTTGTATTCACTTTCACTAGTATGCAACAGTGTGTCTGTGGTGATGTCTTGTTTGACCTGCCCTCCCAAATCGAGATGCGCACCCCTCTTCCCTCTTGAATATTTAATTTTGCTCTATGAAGGTTTTGAAAGATTTTGACTAACGAAGGTCCGTCGTCCTGCTCTTTTTTTTCCCTTGCTTCTGTTTTTATTCTTTGATCGTGATGCAGCAGCAGAGTGGCTGGGAGAAGTGGAGCACACGCACATAGATCAAGAAGTAAAACCGGAGTAGATGCAAAGTCCCGACGGCACGTTGCCTGTTGCAGCATTTTTGCTTGGGTTGAGTGCGCGCTGGCAACGTTGGTTGGCAGGGAGGCCAGTCTGGTAATGATTGCTATGTTGGCAGGTTGTCGAACGTTCAGTCAAATTGACTGTGTACAAGTGGCGAACTAGGAGCGGAGTCGTGATAATATACACATACGCATATGCATGCACGTGCCCACACACACACAGGGATTATCACAATAGACAACAAGTAAAGCAGCATCAACAGCTGCTAAAGTGTTTCTAAAGGCCTGCTCTCATAGCAGTTGTCCCGAGACTTAAGAGTGAGACAAAAAAAAAAGTGCACTTTCTCTTCTTCTTCTACTTCGTCTTCATTTTAACTTTGTCTGCTTTCCTAGTTTTCATCTGTGCCTTCTAAGATTACTCTTTGTGCGGTCTGGGATGGCGTCGCTAATGGATGTGCTTAGCGAGCCGTTGGGCATGAAGAGCCGGGGAATGGCTGCAGACAGGACTCGCTTGTATTTTTCGAGTCGTCAATTCGCTGAAGGCGTACGCGTGCGCGGGGCTGTTCTTCCTGAATTCGAATCGGTGTTGACGGCGGAGGCTTTGTCGTTTGTTGCCGATCTGGTGCGCTCGTTTCGGCCGCGAATTGAATATGTGCTCCAGTGCCGGGCTGACGACCAGGCGCGCTACGACGCCGGAGATGTGCCCGGATTCGATTCCGCTACCAGGTACGCTCGCCTGCGTTCTTTCGCTTTTCCTTTGCTTTTTTTTTTGTTTTTCTTTTTTGTGTGTGTATTGAACATCGTTCATGGCAGGGATTTCTGCGACCAGGGTGGTACGAGCCCCTGGTGGTAGAAGCCTGCAAGAGATCAATGGCTCTGATCTATTCGTGGGGAGCTGCACCTGCTGGAAACCGGGTCCAGAGTCCCTCATGACAACAGATATTCAACAGAGACAAAAGTTCAAGACTGTTCCTGTAGCCAGCTCGGATAGACCTCATAGACTTCTCCACGGATTCAGGCGCCAGATACTTTGTTCTACGCAGGCGCCAGATGCTTAGTTCAACGCTAGCCTGTGTGTAAATCAAGGGAACAAACTGGCAGGTGAAGTCAAGTAGGATCATTGTAGTTGCCACCTGGCTTCTTAGGGAAGATCTCTAGAGTCCAACCTCTCTTCCACTCGTAGGTGCAGAGCAGGGAACCTCGTCACGGATTCAGGCGCCAGTCTGCCAGATACTTAGTTCTACGCAGGCGCCAGATGCTTAGTTCAACGCTAGCCTGTGTAAATCCAGGGAACAAACTGGGAAATGAAATCGAGTAGGATCATTGTAGTTGCCACCTGGCTTCTTAGGGAAGATCTCTAGAGTCCAACCTCTCTGCCACTCGTAGGTGCAGAGCAGGGAAGCCGTCAGAAAATTCCTCTTGTACGCCTGGGAGGTGAAACCCTCCTATTCTCGAAAGTTGAGGCGCCCTCTCTCTCTCTCTCTCTCTCTCTCTCTCTCTCTCTCTCTCTCTCTCTCTCTCT